ATATTTAATGCAATCTCTATCAAAATACCTATGGCATTTTTTACAGAACTAGAACAAATAATCCTAAAATATATATGAAACCATAAGAGACCCTGAATAGACAAAGAAATCTTGAGAAAAAAGAACAAAGTTGGAGGAATCATGCTCTCTGATTTCAGATTATACTACAGAGCTACAGTAACCAAAACAGCATGGTACTGGTACAGAAACAGACACATAGATCAGTGGCATAGAATACAGAGTCCAGAAACAAACCCATCTACTGCACTCATGGTCAATTAACCTACCAAAAAAGGCAACAATAAAGCATAGGGAAAAGACAGTCTCTTTAATAAGTGGTGCTGGGGAAACTGGACAGCTACATGTGAAAGAAATTACAACATTCTCTAACACTACACACAGAAATAAATTCAAAATGGCTTTAAGACCGAAACGTAAGACCTGAAACCATAAAACTCCTAAAAGAAAACACAGAACACTCTTTGACATAAATCAAAGCAGTATTTTTTGGATCTGTCTCCTAAAGCAAAAGAAATAAAGCAAAAATGAGCAAATGGGACATAGTTAAACATAAAGCCTTTTGCACAGCAAAGGAAACCTCAACAAAATGAAAAGACAGCCTTTTGAATGGGAGAAAATATTGACAAGTGATATGACTGATAAGGGGCTAATATCCAAAATATATAAACAGTTCATACAACTCAATAGAAAAAACAAACAACTCTATTAAAAAATGGGCAGAAGTCCTGAATAGACATTTTTTTCAAGGACTTACAGAAGGACAACAAGCACTTGAAGAGATGCTCAACATCGCTAGTCATTAGAGAAATGCAAATCAAAACCACAATGAGATGTCACCTCACACCAGTCAGAATGGCTGTCATCAAAAAGATCAGAAATAACAGGAGAGGAGAGTATGGTTCAGTGGTAGAATGTGTGCTTAACCTGCACAAGGTCCTGGGTTCAATCCCCAGTACCTTCATTAGAAAAATTTAATTACTTCCCCTCTCCAAAAAAAAAAAAAAAAAAATCCCAAATAACAAATGTTAGCAAGGATCTGGAGAAAAGGAAACCTTTGCACACTACTGGTGGCAAGGTAAATTAGTGCAACTACTATGGAAAACAATATGGAGGTTTCCCAAAAAACTAAAAATAGAACTACCATATGACCCAGTAATTCCATTCCTCGGTATATATCCAAAGAAAATGAAAACACTAGTTCTTTTTCATTTTTAAAGAAAAAAAAATTCTTTGTTTATGCCGCCTGTAATTATATGAACCAAACAAGGCAAGAGTAAATACAACAGGCAGAAGCTGGGAAATTGTAGGTACTAAGACCATGTAAGTCCTGAGACCATACATGTAGACCATGCTCAATGAATATTTGTCCCCTGGAATGAATGAGTCTTTGATTTGCTCATACTGTGAGAAACATTGCTGTCTTATGTCAGGAATGATTTTTAAATGGAATAAATGTTGTCAATTATTACAGAGCCAGAAGTCTCTTAATTAGTTCTCTCCAGTGATTTTCTGTAATAAACATGTTCTACCAAGAGTTAACTGTAAAGACCTTCAACAATAAAGCACCCAGATGCACTTAGAAGCACATGCAATTTTCAGAGATGTTGCCTGTCTGTCTCTGTCCTCTCCCTATCCAAGGAATAGCATAGAAGGATAAAGTTAGCTGAAGATCCCTGGGGGTTTATTTCTTCCACTCGCTGTCCAGAGCTTTCCCCTATATCCCTCCTTTTGTCTCTATCAGAGTTTATAGAAAAAAGTAATAAAACGTGTATCTACTCTGGCCATTAGGGCCCCAGAGTACAGAACTGTTAGTCAGTAAGGGAAATGGCCATCTCCCTGATTCATAACATAACACAGCTCCTCAGAGAGCTTTACCAGTGTCCCATTCAATCCAGTTTGTGTCTGAGTAGCTGCAAATAAATTCAGATTATTGTGTTAAGTCTCCTAGAATAATGTTGGGCCTCATTATATACCATTGTGGCAAGGTGGAGGTGGGTGCTTAAAAAGGCAAGAAATCTCCCCTGGGATTAAAATCTAGCGTGCTTGTTAAAAATTTACGCTTACGTTGTCATGACATTTTATGTTACCTCATTTGTTTAGATTTTATGACTGTTACATGCTAACAGTTATTTGGAGAGCTGTGAACAAGTAGCCTTTTCTCTTCAGCATATGTAAACCAGCTCCACCAAACATAAACAGGTAAAGACAGAATGCTAATTGTTTGGATACAAAATCTTCTACAGCAAAAGGCAACAAATCAAAGGCAAGTCAAGCAGAAGTTAAATAAAGCCAGCTCTCTAAAGCGTCTTCTCATTCTTTCGGTCCATGATTCAATTTTCTATTATCTAAAGCATGCTTTCAGGTTTTCAATGTTTTCTGCATTTGATGTTTTCTTTATTTACCAGATAGCATGTGCCTGTAAGAATAAGTGAAGCCGGTGAAAAAGAACGCAACAATGAATATATGTATGTTCGTGTATAACGGAAAAATTGTGCTCTGCACTGGAAATTGACACAACATTGTAAACTGATTATTAATCCAATTAAATAAAATAAAATTTAAAACAAAACAAACAAACAAACAAACAAAAGAATTAGCGAAGCAACGCAAATAAATGTAAGATCAAGTTAACTCTCTCTCATCTTACTGCCCATGCATATCATCCCCTTCTGCGGACCTTCCATCACTCCCTCTTCCCTCACACATCCGTAAGCAATTTTGTCTCTGCCCACGGTTATGTACACACGGGAGTTTGAAGTTTGTGGTTTCAAACAAAAAGGATCATGCTACACATATTGAGCACTTGCTTTTTATACTATCATTTATTATGGATACACATAGTCAACAGATATAACCTCTGTGCCTATTACATGTCACACACATAGATATAAGCATACGAATAATATTGTCTTCAATTTTGGATTTTTTCACTACAGTTTCTATCTTTATTTTTTACCTTTTGTTTAACCCCTTACCCTCTTCCATCTCCACCCAAAACTCATTCACCCAAAACTACACATCAGCTCCCTACTCCAATCTCAGCCAGATAACCATATGCTAAAGTATCTAGTATATTT